CATTGATTTGGAGAGCGTGGCTCCATTTTGTCAACTTTTGAAGGCTGACATTAGGCCTCTCCTAGGCTTCTTTTTTGCCAGACTGACCAAACCCATCACCCAGGATCTTTAGGTCCTGACTGTCTTGCCAGCACTCCAGCAGACCTTCTCCAGTTTCTCAATGACTTGTTGAAGTGGGGGTGCCAACATGGGACGCTAATCCTGGGGCATCCCCACTGACATGAGATAGAGTGGGAGTGATAACTACCCTCTGTCTGCCAGTCACACCGGTCCTTGTGCAGACCCAGTATATGGTTTCCCTGACTCTCAGTAAAAGCCCACCAAAGTTTCCTATTAAATTCCAGGTTGTTTCCATTTGTTGCTCTGCCCCCACTGCAGAACTTTGCCCTGCTCATGTTGACCTCCGTTGGTCAACTTTCTGTTGACCCAGACCCCAAGTTTTTCAAAGTCCCTCTGGTCGGAAGCTCTACCAGCTCTGCCAAATGGAGATGGAAGTTGTCTCTTCTAATCTATCATCTGCAAATGGGATGAAAGTGTCCTTTGTGTCATCGGCTTGGTGACTGATGAAAATATTGAACAATATCAGCTCCCGTGTCCTTCTCTGGGGTCCTCTGTTCATTACTGTCTGCCAGATGGCCCATCACAACATTGATTACTGTTCTTTGACCTAATGATCCAGCTCATTTTCAGTCCATCTAACAGTTTATTCATCCAACCCGTATTTGCTCAGTTTTTGTAAAGTGGGAGACTTTCCAGTTGTCAGAGCTGTCCCTGTGACTTTCTGGTGATGGACTGCAGCCGTACAGTCACATCAGCACCCTCTGGTGAATCCCATCTGGTCACCTGGATCTGAATACTTACAGCTTCTCTAGGTAGACTGTCATCTGTTGCCCCTCTTGGTGTTTGTCCCTCTCCTTCACAAGTCATTGTGGACAAGTGAAGGTCTAGGAGTAGGCTTTGCCAAGGAAAACGTATGCAAACGTATGCAAAAAAGGCATTGAATATTTTAGTCTTTTGCTTATTGTCTGTCAGTGCGTTGAGTCATCCTTTCGTTAGTAGACCCACAGTTTCTCCAAATTGCTTCTTTCTGCAAGAAACCCTTCATGTTTCTCTTTGTCCTCAGCCAGGGTTAGCTCCAGCTGGGCTTTGGCCTTCTGATTTCATCCCAGGATGAATAAACAATGCTTGCATGCTCCTTTTTTTGTTGCTTTCCCATGCTTCCACATGCTGTAAGCTCTTGTTTTGCATTTCATTTTGCTGAGAAGACACTTGCTTAGTATCAACAAGCACACTCCTGGTCTTTCTGCACGAGTGGATAGTTTACTCCTGAGCTCTCATTTTCACACACACACCTTGCTCCATGCCATGGTTGTTATTGGGTAACCTCCCACACCTTCAGCTGGGCTTAGCTGCCAGCCTAAATCCTACCTCATTTTTGAGAGCCACGGGCTTAGATCTGAGGATCTAAGATCTGAGATCCTGCCCTCGGGCATTTCCCCAGCTCAGCTTCTCCCCGTGGGACTTGTCTTCTCTCCTTCTCATGTAGAAGAAGCTGTAGAGAAGACAAGGAGCAATGGATTTAAGCTGCAGCACAGGGGTTTAGTCTGAAATTGAAAATACTTCCTAAGAGTCTGGACACTTGGCAATGGAAAAGGAGCCCAGGAAGTAGGTAAAACCTCACCCTTCAGAATTTTAAGAATAGTCTAGAGATATATACCAATATAATAATAACAAAAAAGCCAGCAAGGGTAGCTGTTCTGAGGCTGGTGGCAAAGAAAGTTGGACAAGTTTCTGAGCCCTGCTAAGCCTGTTTTTCTATGACTTCTGTGTGCTGCCTCCTTCGTTCATCTGGGAGTCTCTGCTCTTTTCAGCTCCTTTCTCCATGGCCAAGTCCTTCCCAACTCTCCCATTTTCCAGCACCCTTCCCCAGACTGTGGGAGCAGCTGCTCCGGGGTGAGCCACCCTGATGCACAGAGCTGCCCTTGGACCTCCTTGTACCTTCTAGGGCTGCCCCCCCACAGGGGCAGGAGCACTTCCATCCTTCTCTTCCCGGAAAGCAGCAGCACTCAGCAGCTCTTCACTTCAGCTGATGCTCCTCCGGGAAAAACAGTGACATCTAATCAGATTTACAAGAGCAGCCCAGGTCTGAAGTGCTCGTGGAGAACTATAAACAAGCTGGCATGAACACAGCACTACTGCCTTTTCTGAGCCCTCCTGCAGTTTAGGTTTAGCAGCCGAGGATCTAGATGCTCTCTGCCACCTTGAGTCACACACGTGGCAATAGCATCTGCCCTAGTTAACTCAGGGCAGAGGTGATAAAAGCAAAATGAACCCTCCCTATCTCTTATCAAGACCAATGTATTTGTTGGTGAGTTTCTGCAACCTGCAGCTCCACAGCTCTTCTAAAGTAGTTTATAGAAGTATTAATCTCTAGGTGTTCCTTGTTTCATTTTATTTCCCAGTGAATACTCCGGATTTGCTAAAAAACTGCACGCAAGGTGGGATCTCATTTTGGGATGGTGTTCTGCACACTACAAATGGTGAGGGAAAGGAAAGATGATGTTTCTTTTATAGGGTGAATACTGTATATATAACAGCATGCACTCAAGCAGGGAAGTTAGGGACCTGCTACACAACTGCTGTAATAGTGTACAGCACTTAAACAACATTTGAAACTGGTAAACTTCAGGACATGCAGAAACATACGGAAAGATTACCTGACATGAAAAGAAACGTGGAAGACTTATGTTTTTTACTTTCTGTCCCTGACCGTTAGATCTCTACAATCTATCTACCAGCAGGTAGACTGAGAGAAGATTTATTGCTGGCAGACAGACACTCACAGTGTTTCTCCTGCCTAAATAATAAAAATAGATTTGTGTAGCTATTGCTGCCTGCCCTTGAGAAAATGCAGCTTTCCTCAACACAAACTCTTCACAAAGGCAAGCTAGACTTGTTTTCTTATTCATTTTTTCTACATTATTTCTAAATGTTATGCATTTTTGTGTTCACAGAGTAAGTCCCTTGGCATGACTTTGACTTAAAAACCTTGGCTGCTAGAGCTGAATCTCTGCTGCCATTCACAGAACATTTCTAGCCTTCAAGCTTGAAAAGAAAAGTGATGGGCTATGATCTAATGTGACCTCAAGGTCCAGAGAATGAAAAGGCACCCTTGAGCTCCAAATCATATTTTTCATATCATATGATTTTTAAATTATCCTGCTGATGTGAAGACAGAATTCAAAAGGAGAGAGAATGGCTCATGGTGATTTATCCCTTCTGCAGCTTTTCTGCATTTGAAGAAAATGGCCAATCCATGGGGAAAGTGTAGGAAGCAGAAGTCTTTGGCTCACAGAGTCCTGGGGATTGAGGCTCCTGAGAGGACCCTTCTGGGAGCTCCAAGCAGAGGCTGGAGGCAGAGTGCCCTGGGATATTTGGTGGGGAGCAGGAACTGCATGGAAGACACCACTGGGTGGGACTGAAGTATGTCCAGTTTATGTTGTATTGTATTAGGAGGTCTTTCTGTTAAAAAATAGCCATATTTTAAATTAAAAAAAAAAAAAAGTGGAAAAAAATAGCAACTGCTGCATGAAGTTAGAATCCTGGTCAGCCACCCTGCACCTTTGCTCACAAGGAAGAGAGCTGCAGTTGAAAATCACAAAATCATCAGGTGTCCTGAGCTAAAAGGGACTCATGAGGATTATCAAGTCCAACTCCAGGCGCCATGCAGTACCACCCCAAAACCATGTGTCTGAGTGTTGTCCAAACACTATTCAAACTCCAGCAGGCTCGGTGCCGTGACCACTGCCCTGGGGAGCCTGTCCCAGTGCCCGAGCACCCTCTGGGTGCCGAACCTTTCCCTAACCCCCAGCCTGACCCTCCCCTGTCCCAGCTCCATGCCGTTCCCTCGGGTCCTGTCGCTGTCCCCAGAGAGCAGAGCTCAGCGCCTGCCCCTCCGCTCCCCTCGTGAGGGAGCTGCAGGCCGCCATGAGGCCTCCCCTCAGCCTGCTCTGCTGCTGTGCTCAGGGAAAGGACCGGCTGGTTACTGTTCATCATCCAGCTTGTTTTCCTGTTGGACTTTTCCTCCTCCGGGATTACTGAGATGCTTGATTCATCCCTTATGCTCAGAGGAAATGTTGCTCACTGGGGATTTGGACAGCTTTGTTCAATCTTCCTGGGGTTGTTCATGGAAGCTTGAGCAAGCTGTTACTAGCAACATCCATAATTTGAACCAGGCCCTTGTCACTATCAATCAAAACCTGGCAGAGGATTGTGCTCAGCCAGAACAGGCAGCCGAGGAAGGAAACCTGCAGGAAGCAGAAACCTTGTGGCCATGAGCCTTAGCTTGGTGGAAGGTGGGCATTACTCCTGTCTCCTAAAACCAGCTCAAGGAGCACCACAGTGATCAATGGCATGGGAACAACATGGGAAACTCTTACGCCATGGCCTGCAGGGTCCATCCCCACCAGAAATTTGTAATAGTAAAGCCTTTCTGAGCCTTATTTGCCTGTGCCAGGCTAACACCCAGCACAGAAGTCACAAAGCACGTGGGGAATCAGGCTGATCTCGTAAGAGCACAGGAGAAAGATGCAAGGTCTTCTGAAAAATGCAGGCTGTTTTTCTCTTTTCCAGCATATAAAGAATAAATATTCTCATCTTGTAAGCATTATGTTGGCAGTGTGTCACTATACTGTATTTCTTAGTGTGTAATATTGCTCTATTAAATGTCTGCATATGCACAAGGATTTCTCTTGATCTCCTCACCAAGCAGAGACGTTGGCTCCAGGCCTGCCAAGAGCTAACTCCTGGTCCCTGTGGTGGGGTGCAGGACATCACCCTCTCCTCCTGTCCTTCCCCAGTGAGCTACTGGGGTATTATTATTATTATTATATTACTGGGGTTTATTTTGTTGCTTGCTGTGGAGTCTGATGTGTTTTTTTTTTGTTTGTTTTTTTGTTTTTTGTTTTTTGTTTTTTTCTGTCTGGAGCTGCTGGGTCAGCAGGTAATTGGGATTGTCTCTGCTGCAGCAGCCCACACGTGTGATGGATGACCCAGCCACACAGGAAGGCAATGCTTCTGTCCTCAGGTCACCCCTTTCTCACCCTTCCCGAGTGAAAGTGTCTGGAGGTGCAGCATCCAGCAGCCTTCTGGAAGGGACAAATGATTACACCATCCTCCACATGATCACACCTGCTGGGGACACTGAGGTTTGGGGATTGCCAGCTTCACTTGGACCTTCTTGCTCCGGTCCCACACACCTCCCAGTACAGTCTTGAAGTGCTGGCTGATGTTTATTTTTTTCTTCAGGAGCATTAGGCAGACTTAAACACTGTTTCTCCAACTCATGTGTACTTGACCCCCTCCTCCAGAGCCATCTCTGACAAACACAGCTGCGTCTTGGTTTTGGCAGGGCTGTGTTGCATGTCCTGGAGCCCAGACTTTCCTCTTTCTGTTAGCAGCACCTGGTTTGCTTTGCTTTGCCCTCCAGAAACTTCTGCTGGTCAGATGAGGAGGGAATGTGAGTAACTTGCTTGTTTAACTTCTAGCTTCCCGTGGATTACTTTGTAGGCACCACTCAAGTTGCAGCTGGATTGTGGTGGCTTTTAAGTGCTACAAGATTTTGGCAGCATGGCTGCTGATGCTCAGCTGCGCAACTGAGACGGTGAAGCTGGGAGAGAGAGTGGGATAAGTTGGGAAATGATGCCGTAGGGCTGTTTCACCATCGCTTCCCTGCAGAGGCAAACACCACTTAACCTCCCACCTCATTTCTTCACTCATCTGCCCACTGCAGAAGCCCTGCAAGGACATCACAGGTGATGAGTGGTTCTGTGAAAAACTTCTTCAGTTCGGGAGCTCTTCTCTGCTGTCCTCTGCTGACTCAGTTGCTGCCAAGAGCAAGTGCTGATGATGGCACTAGTGACCACAGCCATGGGGGTGTACCAGTTCCTGGCATTCTCCACCCCCAGTGCTGCATCCTTACACATGCGTTGGGGAAGATGCTTGACACAAACATTTTCCACTTAAAGCAAGAGAACAGACTCTTGACTGACATTATTTGTCAAGCAGCTGCAGATAAACAAAACTTTTTTTTTTTTTTTTTTTTTTTTCCTCCAGAAACAGTGCTACACTTTCTTTTCCTCCCAGCAGACCCAGGTGTGCCCCACACCAGCACAGCATTCAATGCCCTGGGAGCCAAGGGTGCTGGGGCATGGAGGGTGTGATCAGTGCCATCGCAGATGTCCTGGGAAATAGCATACATAATAACACAGCCGGTGTGATGATACACCCACATTTGGCTTCTTTCCTCCCTCCTTGTAAGAAGTTCAAGTAACTGGAAGAACTGGATCGTCCAACCTGCCCCAGTCTGATGTTGTTTCCAAGAAAAACCTCCCAACCCTCCAAACAACCCATGGGAAGAATAATTAAAGGAGTGGATCAAGGGGCCCTGGGGAAGGTACTGTTCACAGCTTTTACTTTCTATCTGTTGAGCCGCTGATGTTCCTAAGTGGATGCTTTTCCTTTCCAACATCCAGTCAACTTCGAGATTTGAGTTGCTTAAATCAGACCCAAGTACATTCCAAAATGGTAGGGAATTGCTTCGGTTGCTTAGCTGAGCAGCTGGCCCCTGGGCTGCAGTGCTGAGACCTTCTGGGTGCAATGCCTTTAATCCTGGAGGTCGTGATATGCTTCGCAGAGATGCGCTCTGATGGTATTTCATCATTTCCCAAAATTGCTCTCTGTAATAAGACCAGAATTATATCTCAGAGCATGAAACCTTGCCACTTCTTAAGGCTGCTTGAGAAGTGAGGCATCATTTTACCAAGCTGTGCTATCTGACCTTTAGAAAGCACAGAAGGTTGCACAGGAGAAAAAGCCACCATGAAGACCCTGTGTTCCAAAATGAAGGCTTTATTGCAAATATATTTTTGTCTTCTGCAAAGATTTATTTTTGTATAGACATAGATAAATTTCAGTTTGTGCTTAATGTGCTTGCTCATTTTTTATTATTTTCAGATTACTCCCACGTGCACTCGGATAGGTGTGCTGTGTCGTCTTGCAGTCAGGGGCTGACTGCATCATGAACACCTCTGCTGTATTCACAGCCGTGCGTAGAAGTGAACAGAAAAGTCAGAGTTTGGCACAAAGAGGGTGTCAGAGCATGGTACTTATTTATTTATTTATTTTTATTCGTGTGTGTGCGTGCGTGAAAACAGCCTTTGTGTTTCTGAAACAGCAAAGTCTTTATGATTCTTTTATGAGAACACAAGTACAAACACCACTGATTATGGTTATGAATGAGACCAAGAAAAAGCTTTAAGTATAAGCCTGTTTTCATGCTATTGCTCATTTTACAAAAGTTTGCTGAGTAGGGCACTCTCTGTGGCAACCTGAGGGAGAGAAGGATTACTTAATCCACACCAAGATGACAGAAAATGCTTTAAATGCTTAGCTTGGTGGGTTTTTGTTGTTGTTGTTATTTTGGTTCAGTTTGATTTTTTTGAGAACAACTGAATCTTTATTGATTTTTCTGGGGATCAAAGCTGAACATACATAACTGAAAAGAATAGCCCCAGGGAGAGTACAAAAAAGAAATACATGACACTTTACATCGATTTAGCCATTATATTGTACTGGACAAATGGAATAGAGCAAGAAGAGCCATTACACAGTTGTTCCCGAAGGTGGCCTTGATATTTACAAGTACTCACACACAATTACGGCTTTAAGTACAGTAGTTCTGCCCTTCCCTGTTCATCTTTTAAGCCATAAAATTACAGGACTGCTTCTTAGTCATCCAAAGTATGCCACAGAGGTGGGCAAAGCATCCTACATTCCTTTTAATAACTATAAGGATGGAATTAAAAAACAAACAAACAAAAAAAAAAAACCTAAGCAGACAAAAAGAAGCAAGAAGGCTTTTTCCACACAGAAGAGATGTTCATCCTGGTCTTACTGGCTGCTGGCAACTCAGCTTTCCAAAAATTCTCCAACTCCTGGTTCCCGGGGAGCACACTCAAGGTACTGTCTGAGGCTCTAAAGGTGAAATCAGGGTTTGAATTGGGTTTGTCATCTTCAGCTCCACATTTTGGGCAGTGGAGCATGACTAAATCAGCTGCTGGAAATTTTCCCTTAAACAGAATAAAATGTTATATGAGCGTTACATAAGCTCCATCCAGAGATTTTAGAGACAGAGTTGCCACCAAATGATTCTCATCTTGCTTTTCCTTCCCAATGGAGAAAGAACAAACTCACATTGCCTTTAGCTTAATAAAAATATATTCCTGGGTTAGGGATGGGAAACGCTATACACATCTCCTTACAGAGCACTGTGTTTGCTTTCAGCTCAGGAAACATCATAAGTCCTATTTAGGACTGAATGACTGGTTCTCAAACTTTTATGCTCAGAATCTCACCCCCATTTGCACTTCTTGACTCATTTGTGAGCTTTCAACCCTGTCCTGTTTCCAGGATCATGAGTGGATGTGTGATCATGAACCCCCTTTTGGTTTTCCAAGGATACAGTGGCTTGAGAATAGACCAGCTGTCTGTGCACTGAATATCCCAAATCTTCCTGGCTTTGCCCATATTGATAAATACTGTGGAAAGTTAATATTTCAGGAGGTTAAATTTCAGGAGATGGAACCCAAGCCTCACTGCCAAGCTGCTCTGGGTGACCACAGTGCTTAGGGCTGGTCCTTCTAGCTCTTCCAGGAGGTTTCTCTTGAAAAGTGCTCATTGAGAAAATCCAGATTGGAGGTGGGCAGTCACTCACACCTCAGTGAAAGTACCACTGGGGTTTGACTTCTGTCTGTCATGCAAAGGAAATGTGGGGAAGTCAGAGGACAAGAGAAGTCCCAGAGTGCCACCTCCTCATGCCCCATGTCTGTGCTCAGGGTGAGCTGGGGCACAGTGCAGCCGTGCACCCTTGGTGAAGCCCGCTGTGAGAGGAACACCCTTGGTGAAGCCTGCTGTGAGAGGAGCACCCTTGGGTCTTCATCTTTGCCTTTAGGCTCAGGCACTCGGCCATGTCCCCCACTGAGCCCTTGCCCTGGCTGCCCCCTGGCAGAAGAAGAGGCAAGGATCTTTTGACCTACGTGGTCAAAATCTATAAAGCAAGGGTCATCCTACGCTTTGTCCCCATAATGGTCCCCTTCAATTAATCATGTTGGAGCCTGTGATGTCTTAGCTTATATAATTACCCGAAGACACAACTGTAGGGTTGCACACTACTGAGCTTCTGTTCCTTCACAGCAGCCATGGAGTCCTGTTTTTGTTGGACCACTGTGCAATGAAGGCTTCATTCTCTCTGCAGTGCCGTTGTTCCCTCCCAAGTGACTCTTGTGTTTCCTTTCCCTTTCTGCACTGCAGTGAGGCATTTGTTATGGGGAGCTAAAATAGAACTAATTCATTGTTTGCTAACAACTCCAGAGTCTGTGAGGCAGCTGCACGCTCACTCTATAAAATAAAGAGTTCCCATCAAGTGTGGACCTGGCTCAGCCCTCTCTGGAGCCAGTAGGACTCCGCTTTGATGTGAATTAAGCCTCAGATGCTGAGGCTGATATCAACAAAGGCAAAACAAAAAAGCAAACAAATAAAAAGCAGCCCAACTTTCAAAAGTATAGAACACACAGAAACACAGTTGGTTTAGGGCTGGGTATTAGGTGCTCTGGTCAGTGGGGCTGGTCTTGGTGAAGCTCCTTTTCTGCTTGCATTCTAGTTTGTCCACATGAATCACTGAGGGTGTTTGCATCCATGGGCTGCATCGAAGTGATTGTTTTAATTAGCACACGCTTGCTAGAAGCCAGTTTCTGCTGCAGAAGAGCCATAATATGGCTCATGAACAAGTGCTCATTCCCGATGTTTTCTGAAACGGTGGTAAATCTGTCACCATAACTGTGCTGAAAGCAGTATTGGGTAGGCAGTGACAAAGCCTGCCCAAGTTCCCTGTCTAATGCTACCACTTGAAGTGCATGGCATAACTTTAAAGGCAAACAATAGCTTGGGGGTTATTTCCCAATCCTGGTAGTGCCAGCAGCCGTAATATTCATTTCACCAATCTATCAGTTCCTCTTGGTTTGGATGGATGGCCACTGAGTTGGGCATTGATCAGGCTCCTGGATGTCCCTAAATTCCATATGAACGACATTTTTAGGTAGATGATGGATCTGGTGCTTCCCTGACGTTGGAGGGTGATTGTACCAGTGCTGGTATATTGAACAGGCTAACAGGAGATGGTAGAAATCTTGTCAGCAACTGTTTTGAGTGATCTTGTCAAGCTGACCTACTTTGGGGAATGACATCCAGATTTTCATGAAGCTTTCCGTTGTTTCATCAGACAATTCTGCTTGCAAAGTAAAACCGTTGATTGTTTTAGATGACTTGGCTGGGTTCATTAACAGCCTGTGGTTTTTGGAGGGCCCTTCTAATTTTTAAGGAATGTTCTGTGTTTGACAGCCTCTTCTCCTGGGCTGCATCCTCCAGCCACTGCTCCTAGACCTGCATCGATTCGCACGCAAGCACCTAAGGAGGCGACCCAGTGACTCCTGGACAAAGAACCTGGCAAGGTTTTGCTCTCAGCTCCCTGTTGCCTCTCTGCCTACATGAATTTTTTTGCTGTAGCTAAGAGTAATTTGCAATAAATATCTGCTCAGGTATAAAACAATCACCTACCTCATAAAAGGTTTCCAGTTAAATTGCCCATGTTTGTGTGGGAGTGTTTTCTTTTCTGCTGGCAAAGAGTCCTTATAAGGAGTAATAACACTGAAGAATCTGTTAAAGAAAAATGTTTATCGAAGCTTTACTACTTCACAGGTTTTACTGTAGAATCATTTACGCAAAGCTGTGAGTCACAAGCTGAAGTTCAGTGTCTGAAATTGCTGGCAGAGTGAATGAATTTTGTGCATGACAAAGAGATTGGTAATCTGCATGCATTACAGTCAATTCATAATTGCTTTAAAATCACATGGCAAATGATTATAATTAGGACAGAAGCTGTTAAAATCAAGAACAAAAGGAGGCCAGAACCTGAAGCTATTTACTGCTATATTTCTTCTCTCTGAAGGTTTACGAAAGACATCCCAACTCCTAAGCAGAAAACACAGTAAGAAATCACCAGTGACCCTTCCAAACACTTTGGTGTCAGGAAATTTGGCAGGAATGTCTCCAAAGTACGACATTTACTCGTGGTACATGTCACAGGGACCTGGGCACAAAAGCCTGAAATAGACAGGTCGTGACGGCAGTAACGCCATTGTCCTGCCTGGATGGCTGAGCCTACCTAGCAAATTGAAATGACCTCTGTCTGTGGCTGCTCTGTGTCCTCTGCGTCCAGGGCACTCGGTATCTGCCAGTACAGACCTTCCTCTAAGGGGTTTTCTCTGCAGGAGCAAGGAGGAGCGTTGCCTACACATGATGGAACATCTCCATGGGTGAAAGACGCCTCGGGGAAGTACGTGTCGCTCCTGAAAGAGGTGGCCATCCATCAGCTGAGCGACTGGGACGAATGGAGCAGGACAGAAATCTTCAATAGAGATATTGTGTCCAAGTGAGCTCCCCCACGGGGGTAAGGACCTTGCTGAAGATCGCCCTGTGCAGGAGAAGGATGCTGGCTGCAGATTGCGTGGGCAAAACTGAATCAAAGAGGTGAACTCACCCAGTTTGCGGCAGCTGGTACAGATCATTATTTAACTGAATCAGAGCAGAGCAAATGCTTCCTACCCCATAAATCCAGATGAGCTGATAAAAGCCTTGATTTTGTTATCGAGACATTACATTTAATTTTCTTTTGAGATTTTTTATCTATTTTTTTTTTTGAGGATCTTTTTTTTTGCAAGGTCAGCTCTTGTGCCCAGCCTGTTTTCTCACCTTTTTAGCTATCCCTAACAGTGTTGTGCACTTTGTCACAGATGTGGTTGGGCGATGTCAGCCAGGGACTGAGGCCACGAGCCTCAACCCTACCCAGGATCGCCCAACCTGCATTGGTCCACACAGTAGAAGAAGAGCCATCGCTTTGCATCTGGGAGATGGAAGGACTCAGGTTTCCTGACTTTGGTTCTGCTCTTCACCACAGCTTCTGACACAGAAGAAAAAGAAAAAAAAAAAATCCAAAACAGGACTACTATTTTCTTTTTGCAGGTGAGGCAGAAGTCACATCAACCATCAGTTGCTGCTGCCAGGAAGACACGAGGCTCCCAGCCAGCAGCCTGATGAAGTCCCTCAAACAAAGGATTTTTCTCTTTTCCAGTGACCCCTGGGTGACACAAGCAATCCCTCTTACCTGGTAACCGGCAGCTCACACACAAGTTGCTTTAGGGCCCCTCTAATATATGCTAAAATGAGATTAATCCAGGGAAGGACCCTTGCCTCTCTTTCTGAGGCTCTGACAAGGAAGGTTTTCTCCAGGTGGCATATTTTGGATCACAGCAACTTTTAGCTCTCTGCAAGAGGCGTGCTTCTGCCAAATTTCCCCTTCCTCCTGCCATGCACTCTGTAAAGAGGAGAATGGGAATTGCTAGTTTGTGCCTACATGAGGCAGAGTTCCTTTTCCTAGAATTAAGAATAGTCTGATGTTTTGGAGAAGAATTCAGTAACCTTCCTGAACAGCAGAAGGAAACATTCATCAGGGCTCAGAGGCATCACAGAATCACAGAATATCCTGAGTTGGAAGGGACCCATAAGGATTGTGGAGTCCAACTCCTGGCTCCACACAGGACCACCCAAAAACCAAACCATGTGTCTGAGAGAGTTGTCCAAACACTTCTTGAACTCCAGCAGGCTTGAGGCCGTGACCACTGCCCTGGGGAGCCTGTCCCAGTGCCCGAGCACCCTCTGGGTGCAGAACCTTTCCTGAATATCCAGCCTGAACCTCCCCTTCTGCAGCTTCATGTAGTTATTTAATACAAACAATCAAGCATGCTGTCATGATTTGTAGCCCAGATTCAGCTTCCCTGTCAGCCACACAAGAACCAGAGAAATGGAACTCCAGTAGAATCAGTGCGTTTTCACTAGTAACAAACCCAGACAATGAAGGATACAGCCTGATGCTCTTTCAAGACGCATGTGCAAGTTACTGCAGCTGTTTCCAGGATATGAAGTGTTTGGAGTGATGCCCTGAGGTCAAGGTACCTACACTCTGGCACAGCTCAGCAGCAGTGAGGGCATGCAGTGTGCACCTTTTGCCAGTTTGGTGACTATGGAGACAACGCTAGTTAGGAAGAAAGGTATGTGCTGTCAGTCGTCAACATAAAACCAGATGTCACTGTCTTATATATGAGGCTAGCTGGCTGATCAAGAGACAAATCCTATTCATCTGCAGGAATAACAGAGTTTGGCATACAGCTGTTTCTTTCGACATTGCAAGGAAGGAGTCTGAAGTGTCTCAATTAAGTGGCTAAGTGCAGGATAACGCCACAGAAACTGTGGAATCGAAATCAAAACTGCTAAGTACAAAGAGGCACTTTAGATTCCAGGTGCTCCGAATCTGTGTGTTTGCAATAATTAAGATGATCCTTAAGGGGCTGTGATAATGTTCAGTTATTTCTCCAGCTAAATATAAAACAATCTGGGTATCAGTTTACCCTCTGCACACATGTCATGTACATAACACATTGCGTGTGGTGGGCACAGATGTGAGCAGCTATGAGGCTCTGTGGACTCTGGAGGCTGTTTAAAGTCACACATCCTAAAGACTCACCACCTGGGTGGTTATTCACTGTTGGGATCATGTGGTTATCATTTAAGGCCACAAAAGAGTGGTTGGGAAGGCTTTTCCCAATTGTGGCCTTAATAAAGTCCTTAAGTGTGTTTCTCAAGCCTCTCTTGCAAGCCAGACTTTATAACTCTGGTGCTTGTTTCTTCTCTTCTTTTCCCCAGGTCTGCAGGGATATTAGTCTCCAATGAGGTGTGCTAGTTCTGCGAGAGGGAAATGGTAGTCTAGGGCAGCTTTAATCCAAGACTCACAACCTTTTATGGGCTCTCTCCATGTTGTGAAAAAAAAAATCAGCAAAAGAGACACAGGTTATATCATGGTATCTCTAACAGGTGCTAAAGGCAGGTACTCGTGAAGTCTAGCCATATTTCCAGCACGTACTTGGAGCCACTGGACCTTTGTTTCCTTCTGGAAATGTAATAGTATAAATAAATGGGATGGGAGATCTATATCCCACACGACAGCAGCTTACTGAAGGTTCAGTGGAGGTTCTCATGACGTTAGCTTCATCCTTCAAGTCACTATGGTGTACCTAAAGCAAACTGGAGTGAGACATCAAACTTCACGGAGGTATTTGACAAGGATCACATCTCGTGGATAAGTTATTCTGCAGATGTTACTAGTGCTTCTTCATACATGGCATGACAAAGAAGATTCTTGAAGGATATCAATTATTGCCCACCTAATGGGGCAGACTATTACCAGGAAATTCCTGTCCAGAGCAACACAGTTGAGGAGGAAGATAGAGCCCAGTTGTTTATTCAATGGGCACGTCATTATTAAACACACGCTGCTGAAATAGCCGTGGTGCTTTATGCAACAACAAGCACTATTCGTTGGACTTATGTAGGTTTACCATCAACTTCTCTGTCTCCTGCCAGCGAGCTTTCCAGCCTCACATACCAACACAGTTCATGTGCAGGGTAGATTTATTGAATTTCTCCCAGCTAGAGGCTACCCAGTCTCATTTGGTTCAGCCTTAGGTTTTCCTCAGGTGGTAAAGGCGCAGATTTCTGCATTTTTGAAGGATGTTTAAGCAATTTTCAGGAAATCGATACAGATCTGGACGTGCTCTAGCTTCATCTAAATGGCCCTTAAGAAATAGGCAGCAGATGTTTTAAGACAGAAAATCCCAGCGTTTCACAAACAGTCTCAAGTTCTGTTTATTTAAAGAATGGACTTAGTAAGTCCATTGTGAACATCATCACAAATAAAGTAAACTGGATGCATTTGTTATGACACTTTTAGTTGGAACTCTTCCAGATTTTGTTTTCTTTGGAGTCCAGTGCAAGCTGAAGACCCAGAAGTTGACCTTCATCATTCATTAATCATCACAAAACACTTCCTTGAGGGAAAAAAAATATGTAAGGTATGTACAGTGCTGTGGGGGTGGCTTGCTTAAGATGAAATTTGAGAGTTTGGGCTCTGAGCACGAGGATGGCTTTTCTTAAATAAATTGCCCTTACAGTCCCCATGTGCATGGCAGCTCCATCCGGCCCTACTGAGTACAGTCATCCCTCCTCCACCCTGCCTGCTCCTCCCAGCCTGGTGCCTCCTGATCACTCTTCAAAGGTCAGCAGCTCAAATGAAATGCATGGGATGGTGTCTGGACTTGTGACTCCAGCTATGGCTTGGCTCTACCTCTCTCACCTCCACCATACACTGTTCCCAGCACAGCCCATCTCCTTCTGGGCATCCTTTTGGTCTCCAGATGCAAGTAAACTAGCCAGGGACAGGAGATGAGCTTTGACCACTGGCCTGCAGCTGTCCTGATGAGATGCAGCATCAGCACATTCCTTGTGTGGTTTTGGACCTTGGCAGCAACCCGTCTACACAGCAAATGCCTAGGTACAGTCCAGGGACAGCATAGACCACAGACCAAGGACCCAGGACAGCGTAGACCAAGGACCAACAACCACGGACAACATAGACCAAGGACTCCCAGTAGACCCAATGGATGTATAGACCCAACAGATGGCAGATCCGTAACTTAGTTGTAGGTGAATTGAGGTTAGCCAAGCAGATGCAAACTGTGCTGTGCCTCTTGCCCTCAAGAGGAGATGCCCTGGACATGTCCTGTTCACACATAAATTGCATCAATGGAGCCCATCCTTCTTTACTCCCCTCACACTTGGTGCCAAAATCTGTCTGCCTTACCAGTGCTGTACCACCAGAAGTGGAGAGTCTTAGCTCTTTGTTGCAGCCATAAATTTAAGCCATAAGCCATAAATCTGAAGAACTAATGTCACACTCCTTCAGTCCATGCTTGGACATCTAAAGAGAGCAGATCAGTCTTTATGGCACTCAGTACCTCAGATCTCCCTGATTTTGTCAGAGCTGTTTAGCTCAAATGAACCTGAATGTGATTAGCATGGTAGAGCTCTACAGCTCATCAGTTATCTTGGGTAGCTCCTTGTTTCCCCAAACACATCTCTTTTCAGCCCCGTTTGCTAAGGAAATGAGGTTTCTACAGGACTGTGGCTCAGGTAGGCAGGCATGCGTGCAGGCCTTCCTCGTTATCACTGCGCCATTGAACTGTGATTGATGTTGTCCCAGAGCTTGTTTTTTACAAGCTTTACAACAACAAATGTCTAAGAATATGAGAAAAAGAGGTCCTGTGAATGTCTCTGTGGGCTAAACAGGAGAGGACTAATGTCTGCATAGACACCGGAGAAGCTGTGTGGGGGAAAGACATGAGGGCTTCCTCAGCAGCTGGAAAAAGTCATGGAGACTGTGCAAAATATCCCAGTGACACTGCAGGACTCCCTTGTGAAACCAGCCCCACACTTCCCAGCTTCCTTCTAGCTGCTGGGAGCTCTTCACCGATGTTCCTACCCTAAGTCATGCTTTGTCAGAGAAATCTCACTGCCAAAGCTGTCTGCACCTCCCCACACTTTTCCAATTGCTCTTTTTTAAATGGATGGAAGATGACAAAAATGCTGCTTGGCTTGGAAGAATGTCAGCAAGTTCTGGGAATCCACATAAACCCCAAATGTCTGTAGGACGGAGAAGCAGAGATATGGGAACACACCTGCAGACATGGGAGTGACAGTGGGCAACAAATCAGACAAATGTCTGCAAGGAAACACACTTGGAACGCCACTCACATGATGCGCTATGGAAAAAATGGTGAAAAAAAAACACTTTTGAAATGGTCTCGATGCAGAATAGGCAGAACTCTCTGGTCCCACTCCAGCTCTGCAGCTGAGCAAGGTTTTATTTTAAGGGCATGTGTAATCTGAGTAAAGCAAGTTGGATTACTCATGTGCTTAGAGTTAAGCACAGACTGAAAATTGCTGCCCTGGCTGTGGGCTCCCCAGGCGGGTTGTCCTCGGTGCCTTCAGAGCTTCTGCTTGGCTGCTCTGGGGTCCGACACCACCGTCTTGGTGGGATGACAGAGCCCAGAGTAAAGCAACAAAGCTGGGAGAAAACCAGAGGGACTGACTTATCGGGGAAATCATGGAGATAAATAGGGTTTGTCGAAGACATAACGCAGTGTGTGGGCAGAAGTGAAAACAGTCTGTAGATATCTGAGGAGAGTAAACACCACTGATAGAGAAAAATTGCTTAGGCAAACACACTGGCAACATAATTAGGGTAAATGAGAGGAAATTAAGAAAAGGAAAATTCAAATTAAGCTCTGGGAGCATATTATTGATGAGGGAGTTTATACTGTGAAACTGCCGTCTGCAGTTGTGCTAACTTTTGCACTTCCGCTTCTCATAAACTCATCAGTCTGGAATTGAGCAAATTAACATTAATTCTG